GGAGGAGAGGGTGCAAGTCACAGAAAACACATTTAAGTAACGTGGAAAGTTTGTGCAAAAATGGCAAAATGCAAATAATAAATAAATAAATAAATAAATAAAATGGAGATAATGAAGTGAGCTGCATTTGAACTGGAATGGCTTTTTGTTCATTTTAACGATTTTGGAAGTAATTTGTCATAAAGATTTGCAGTTTCAGGGAGGAAAAAGTGCTACATCCACACACACTGAAGGATTGCCAATCTGCCCAACAATCTGTGTTGGCAGAGCCACTTCCCTCCCCGAGCCTTTGCTGAATTAAGCTCCTCATTGCTTTGGATTTGACCAGAGTCCTAATGGTGAAACGGAAAATTAGTTTTGTTGAACGCAACTCAGCACAAAACAACTCTGAAAAACTGCATTTGTCTCCAGATCAGTCAAAGAGAGTATGTCATGTGTTGGATGGAGCCTTGTTAATAAAAGCAAATGATAAAATCTTCCTCTCACAAATCCACAAACTAACATCCACGGTCCTCAATCACATCTTTATCTATCAGCTCACTTTAATTGTCCGCTGGGTTTTTGACTGCACCACATTCCATAAAAAGCACACAAGAGCCTCATGGCGGCAGCGCGACAGCCTCTGATGTAGAGCCTCGCAGTCTGCACAGATAAGACGAGTTCAGTTTTAATGTTGCTAGCACATCGAGACCCACCAAGCTTACTTGTAAAACAGAATGCCCCCTTTGCTCGTAAATGCAGCAGCCCAAGAGGGAAACAAGAAATTGGGGGAAGCAGGGGGGAGGGAGGTTGGGCACACTAAGGTGGGAATGAATTAAAAGTGGGAGAGGTATTCCCCCTGTCTAACACCAGCAATCCATCCAGTGGATCAATATTTTTTATTTATTTATGTTTTATTTTTTTTGCCTCTCTCAAATTCACAATCCGTTCCCAATCTCTTTTAAAAACTAATACCCAATTCCAATCACAGCTGCAGTAAAGTGTATCTTGTAAAAGGTCACAGTGTTGACCTCTGAGTTCTCTAAACTGAATGCTGGTTGGCCCACTAGGCTTGAAATAAAAGTGGCCCGAGCACGGCCACGTCACCACTGATCCCTGCAATGGATGTTCATTTTGACGCTAAGTGTCCCAGCAACGAGATTATAACAAGATATTGGTTGTATTTGTTGAGGAAAACCAGCTCCCAAACATAAACGAGAGCATGGGGACCCCTCCCTCACGAAATTAAAAAAAAAGATTCAGTGAAAGGTGCATGTGTGCTCGCCGTAGGCAGGCATACCAGCAGCACATAGTGGAGCATCTCTTTGCAGCCAGCTTAGGGAACTGATCAGATGGACGATCAAACACTAATCATTCCCTCACGGCCCATACCGGGTAAAGCTGTCATTAATTTTGGAGAATTACATCAAATCTGAGACATTCTTTATGTGGCCCACGGCCTGGAGACAGTTATACGACGGGGACTGCTGCGCTAAGCAGATGGGGCAGCTTGGCCGTGCATACTAAATACCCCCCCCCACCCCACCCTACCAACCACCACCACCCTTTCATCTATCTCCACCCGCCCAACATTTTGCCCTCCTTCCAGGCACGCTGTACTGCCGCACCTTTCTTTGTTTTCCACCCATTTCCTTACACTACAATTGACGTCATTATTGTCATTATTTAAAATCAAAACTGCTCGTGCTGTTTTGAATAATAGCTTTGTGGGGGGGGATTTTGGGCCCAACTTTTTCTCTAGACCCCACCTCTTCCCCAACACTACACATTAATTTAGTGTGATGAGAAGATAAATTGTTTACAGACATAAATCTTTTATGCTCCTCTCCTGGATGCTGACAACTCTAACAGTTTACGTGCCTATACACAACAGAAGGTCATAATCCCATTTGAGGTTTCCTTGGCAACTGATTACTGCTGAAGGCAAGTTGCAATTTATGACTACTGACACATACCTGCCATTCCCTTTGAATGAGACATGTGGTACGCTATATTCAGACAAACCACCTCAGGTAGTAAAACTGCAGTAGCACTAAGGGGCTGTTCCGTTTTTCTTATGTTTAGAGGAATTCCAAGCCAAACTACTAGGAGGCATCATATGACTGGGATTGCATTTGTGTGGAATTGTTCTACAACCAATAAACAAACAAAGTGTTTGGAACAGTTGTACTCAGCCGAATGTGTCCATGTGCATATATTAGACCGACTCGTCTGGAAGATAAAACCTTTGAGTGTGTGTGTGGAGTCTGAGGGTTGAGGTTATAACAATCAAAGGAGCTGTAACGGCGGCCATTCAGGTCAAGATCAAGCAGTTTCATGGACAATCCACCTCTAAGTCTATTCTCTAGTGAACCTCTGTGTTTTTACAGCATCTTCTACTTTCTTCCAAAAGTGACGTCTCAAAGTTAGAGCTATCGTTGAGCTGCACGCTCAGAATTAAATTACCGCGAACCAACAACTGGCAAAGGAGGAACAAAGCCAACAGTACTGGGAATATATGATTATCATAAATCTTTAACAGCTTTGTATTACTGACTTTTCACAATGACTCAAGTCAAGATAAAAAAGAAAAAGCACCCATTTTGAATATTGTTGAAGCCATGCAAACATAAAAGTTTCAAATGAAGACGACTTTTAACTCACTTGTAAACAATGGCGACTGTATAAGAAATTCATTGCAGTACAACCTATTTATTCATTCGACTGAAAGAGGAAACATTACTTCCCTCGCCACTTTGCTCACATAGACTCAGCGCACTATTAATCCACTTAAACGCAATTTATAGGGTCTCAACATTGACTGTCCTTCGGCATAAAATTACATGAAGCATCCTTATAGTGTTGTCAAAAGACTAAATTAGGCGAACTGAGCTCACTAATTGAGGGAGGAATAAAATACTCTGTTTGCACTGACTCATCAATAAGCAGAGATAAACAAGTCGGTTGTGGGCAATATTATAACGTCAATAAATAATTGACATTATTCAAGCCATGACCACCTGAAACCAGAAAGTCGACATTTAATTTAATCTTCTGCTATATATGGTATTTATTTTCAGTGGCTGCAAGAAGCTAACTTTTCTCTTACAATCACAAAGCCAATAAGTATTAAAGGGGTTTATTTTATATTGATATATCAATTCAAGATAAAGTGTAGACCAATTTTAGTATCTAATCTAATTTTACTATTGTGACCTGGAAAGTTGCCTATCTGGTCATTCAAATATGTTTGATTTTTTTCCTGTATTATCTGCTAAATAAGTTATTGCAAAACTAATGAGAATATAGGCTCATTACTATTTAAGAATCAACACTGCAGCTGCAATTCTTCTAAAAAATATATTAAGACAAAAAAATGTGTTTTAATTCAGTTTACAAGACTTTTGGATAATCTTAAGTGTTAGGAGTCCATACTGTGTGTTTGAAGTTTAACAAGAAATGTGTGTTAGAAAAACTGAAGGAAAAGAACTGAATTTTCAAAAATGGTGCACTGCCATCTGCTGTCCAGCTCTACAACATCATCACAGGCATGATGTTTTTCTCCTCCATGTTGGAAAAGTACCATATGGGGTGTTGAGATGACCATCATCCAAAAATTGGGATTTAATGAGTTAGTTGGAAAATCTGTCTAGATTAAATTCAAACCCCCAAAACAAATCTGAGACATGGACTGTCATGGACAGAAATAGTCTGAAATCTGATTTTCTTTACAAGAGAAGCACAGGGGTGAACAAAACATTTAAATTACAGACATTCAGTGATGTAATGAACTTCACCTGCTGCATTTCAAGATAGAGTTTTTAATTAGGATGATCCTAGTAAAATATTCTTAGGATGAGAAATGACAGAGTTATAGACATTTTGGTAAAACCTTAAAAATGTGATTATGCACATGTTTGCAATATAGTATTGCAAGAAATCATGCACAGAGTATGTGTTGTGAATGACTCTCAGATACTACCATATGAATTTTTAGCTCAATATCTGTAAAACTGACCGAGTTATAGCCACTTTGTTTTGGCTAATGTCGATTAGCTGTGGCAGCCATCTTGAAATAGTTTGACTAAAAGCTAATCAGTTGTGGATGTACATCCAATGATTATTTACAAAATGTATCATTAAAATCCATCAAGTCGTTCATGAGATATTTTGCTAACAGACAGAGTTGATTCTAACAGTTAAAGCCAAGATTTTAAGCAAAGATGCCATGCAACGTGTTGTGCTTAAAGTACATGTTGGGTATATTGCTCAGCTACTACCACAACAAAATCTAACTTAATATCTGAGACATGTACTGAGCTACAACGTTTGTGTTATTTGAGGTCAGTTGGCTGCGGCGACCATCTTGCAATGGGTTGACTACAATAAGTCAAGTCAAATCAAATGTTTTTTATACAACACATTTACAACAACCACAACAATAATTTCAAAATCATAGATAAAAATATGATAAAAGAAATAAAATTGAATTTAATAAAAATAAGTAATCAGTTAGATGTTCAGTCATTGATTAGCCTACTTTCAGAAAATTTCATTGTCCAGTGGTTCATGAGACATTTTGCTAACAGACATCACCAGCACATGCACACTGTTAAAATGACATAGACTGTGGCCTGATCCCCACAAAAATGTTAATGGGTCTCACTGCGTGGCATAGAAGTTATCAACATTACTAATATTTATTATTCATGCACCTCAAATAAGCTTAAAAAGATTATTTCTAAAACTGCAGCAGCTATTGGTTCGTTTCCCTCATTGCAAACATTTTCATTGGACGATCAGTTTGTGTTGTCGACGCGAAAAACGACGCTTATGGAGAAAAGAAGCATCACGTTACAAGCAGCAGTCGTCTTCCACCCTCACTGCATCCTGGGGGTTGTAGTTCTTAGTAAGATGTTTTAGCGTTGATCTAGCTGCGTGGTGAACTACAGTTCCCCGGGTTCCACGGTGAACTTGAAGCTGCCTCGCGCTTGTGTTTTGCTTTGGGGGGTTTTGTTGTTGTTTCGGGTTACTGGAGGAGGCGAGCCCGAGGAGGATATCCTTTGCTGTTCGGACGCGTTATTTTCGGTTTTATGTCGGACTTTAGAGCCTTTAACTCCCAAACAAAAGCCTCGTTTTGTCGGCAATGAGGAGTTTAAAGGTATAAGACACTTCAGAGAAGACTAAAGGTAACGTGCGCAGATTATTATTTTTTTTGGTAGTTTTAACAAAAGCTTGTTTTATTATTATCGCTTGCGATACCTTAAGTGATTTGGCTTTGATTAAAAACAACATTCGTACCTACTTGAGTTTCTGCAGTGGCTGACATCACGCGATGGTTTAAATAAGCTCGTCTTGAGGCGCGTGGCTCAGTGTTTATTCTACATGTGCTGCTGCTGCTTTAGGCCCGGTATGGCAAACCGTTGTATCATTCATAAATCCACTCGCTTGTCACTTCGAATTGGATTTTTACTTGACAGAATCAACACAAAACACAAAAGTCGTCTAAAACAACATTTTCTCTTGTAGCAGCATAAATATGTGTGCTACCACTGTCTTATAAAAAATCATGTAAATATAACCACGATCCTTATATGGTATAAGGGAAAAAAAAATCCTTACAAATTTTAATCGGCCATAAAAAGAAAATCCTAAAATCTATGTGCATTATATCTATTTCTGTACATAAATTGGTTAGTCCTTATACACTTTTGCCAACCAGGCCCACAAATCAGAAAAAGACTTGCACGTTATTGGAACACATGGTTATTGGACCCATGTGTTTCAAGAAGTATTATTTTCTATCACATGGTTATTAATTTGAACTGTTTCGTTTTAAAACGGCATCCTTCTACTAAGATTTCTATTCCAGATATTCACAATGTGCATGGTAGACAGGAAGAATGTATTTGTGGATATGTGGAGCTGAAAGGCCAAAACACAAGAATGAGAAAAGTTATGCTATGTTGTTTACTAATGTTTAAAATAACTGAATTGTTGATTGTGAACAGTAAAAATGCTGGTAATGTTCACTAGGAACAGTTTATGAATTTCAACTTTTAAGAATGTATACCTATTACATGATGAACTGGCTTGCCATACAAGTGTTGCTGCGTTATGCTAACCATCAGAAAGCTGCTGTAAAAATTTCACTGAGCTTTGATTATCAACTGCATGCGTAAACTACGTTTAAACTTCCCACAGAGCTAGCTTTAGAGTGTAAATTGAACAACATTAAACCTCTGTAAAGTAGTTTTTTTTAAATCATCAAAATAATTAGAAATATGATAAGTCATATTTAATTTGTAATTATAGCAAATTGGAACTTTCTATTGATTTTTCTTTCTTGCAGGTCGTGTAATATGTCAGTCATAAGCTGCACGGTCATTGTTTGCTTGCATTTTATTGAGAAATGTGTTATTTTCTGCTGTTATAGGAACATCTGATCTATGCTGGATGTCCCAACCGATACAGTACTAAATTTATAATGTTTTGTCTAAGCAGACAGCTGCAGCCAGAGATTTCAGAACACATTTCATGTTGGAGATCTCAGACACCTCACACTGCATGTGATGAAGCACGGTGATTTTTACAGGGACCAAAATAGCCACATTGACAAACGTGTAAAATGTCATGTTGCTCAAAGCCTATCCTGTCAAAGGGGTTTAAGATCGTGTGTCCTTTCCTCAAGTGTACCCTCAGTCAGGGTATCTTCTTACACCAAATTAATATTCACAGACTCTTGGCTGGATCATGTTTGCTCACCAGCTGTCACCTTTTACCTACTTCACTGTCAGCTCGTCTTACCAAACATGTCAGTTTGTATCTTTACCTTGTAATAAATATTCTTTAATCTCTTTTTTCCCTGTAGGAACTATATAGCCTGGATTTTGTCTTTGCTGTCATGGACAAGACTTGGCGAGTTGAGTTTAGAAATGTGGGCTGCACTTACTTCCCTCAGAGCAGAGTGGATTGTCACTACACTATAAGCTCACTGCACAGCTGGGCCAGCAGTGACTGGATTGGACTCTTCAAGGTATTGTTACCCCAACAACTATCACAAAATTCACCTGAATACAAGGCTGATCTGTCTGCATTATAATAATGTTCATATTTTCTTTCTCAGGTGGGATGGACATCAGCAAATGACTATGAAACATTTGTTTGGGCCTTGGCTCCAACTGACTATGAAGAGGGCACAGATGTCAACTGCTGTGTGCAGTTCCAAGGTACTCGTAACAATATTTATTTTCCACACTTTTACAAAATTCCTAACAGCACATCAAAACCAGCAAAAATAAATTGCTCTGCTGTTTACAAGAAGTTTAGCAACTCGTGCAGAGTGTGTGAAGATGTTCATTTCTATCTTAAAGGATAAAGAAAACGTGCTCAAGACAAATATCCAGCTTAGCCTGCTCTTGGACAGAGAAGCTCTCTGTCATCATTGGAATTAATTCTGCTGTAAACAGGGTGTTGAGTAATGAGAGCGACAAAGACGGTGGCTCAAAGCCTGCAGTGCTGGCTGCCGCTGCTCCCTGGAGAATACAGGGTTCACTTTGTCCCGTGTGTCAGTGGTGAGGGCAGCTGATAAGCCTGGTCTGAGGGGCACGTGGGAAGCATGTGTGGCATTGACTCAAGGCAAATTGATAAATCACCAACTTTAAAGTACTTTTCAATCCCATTTCATATGAGAAGAAGACAAAGGTCCGAAAAAAGTACTGGTAGATCCTTGAGAAGGTCAACTCTTTGGTGGGCTTATCCATGCCGCTTTGGTTAAACTACCATGGTTACATGGGATTCTTTCATTCTGTATGCACCTAACACATTTTGTAAAACAGAATTTTAAGGAAATTCCTGAAAACACATGTGGTAACCTTGCAACTTTTTAAACAAAAAGAAACTTGCTCAGATGACATGATTTAACCTTTTTTTGTATTTGCACAAGGCTACCACCATCTGTGTACAGATAGCATAACTGCAGGTTATATTTTATAAGCTGGAATATATACCACAGAACAAAATGTAGGATCTATAATATTGACAATTCCTATATATTGAAAAGGTGAATAAAAACAAATCAGTAAATTAAGCTGTGGAGATTTAAGCAAGAATAAATTAATATAAGCATGTATAAGTATGTATGTAGTAGTAGTAGTAGTAATATAATGTACAAGTAGTTATGAAAAGTTAAACTTCTGAGAGTTTAATGTGAATTTATCTTCCTGCATTAGTTAAAGTCATACTTGGTTGTCAAAATATGCATTTAAAAAAATGTTTTGATTAGAATTTTTGTGTTTCTAATACAATTTTTACATTATTAAACAACTAGGACTCCACCCCTCACACTGTGATTGCTGGACATGGGCACCGGCGACCCCCATGACCTAAAATGGAAGAAGTGGGTAAAAGTTAATGGATGGATGGATGGATAAGCAACTAGGGGTCCATGCAGTCTCAAACTAGTCAGATTTTTGTACAAATTGTGTTAGAAAACAGCAAATCTTCCCCGCTTTTGTTCACAACGAAGTTTGGCCATCAGTAGTTCAAAAACTCATGATCCATTCATCATGTCTCCATGTTTAGCTGTGTTTGACCACTCTGCGCTCATCTCACTATCCTTGTCAGTGCAGCTAATGTCCACTATGACGTTACCTGGTTGCCCCTTTGATGTTGTCCCCCTCGACTTCTGAAGGAAATTGAGTAGGACTTCTTTCTTATTCTGGGCCCCTCTGTCCTCTCTGTTATGAATGTTTAACCTCAGGTGTAGTGCCAAAAAGTTTTAAACATGCTGCTGAAAATATCTAGCCTCGACCCCTCGGTAGTGACCAACTTTAGGTCTGTCTAAAGACATTTACTGGGAAAAAAAAAAGTTGATTCCCAGTTATTTTTTTTCCTGAAAGATCACTCTTATTTTGGAGGTGTTCCAGTCAGGCTTTAAATCTCATCACAGCACAGAGTTTGCTCTATTAAGGGTTTTTAATATCTTTGTAGCCATGGATTCTGGTGATTTGCTGCTTCTTGGTTTTTTGGACCTTATGTCTGTGTTTGACACCGATGACCTTGCGATCCTCGTTTCTTGGCTTGAGCAGTGGTTGGGCATTGCATGGTCAGCCCTTAAATGGTTTAGGTCCTACTTCTCCAATAGAAGCTTTTATGTCAACATCAAGGATTTTATTTCTGCATCAGTGGCTCTTCGGTGGGGGGGGGAGTACCACAGGGCTCCATTCTTGGACCTCTTCATTTCTTTACACCTTCTGCCACTAGGTGCTATTTTTCATAAACATTGCATCTTTTATGCCAATGACTGTCAATTTTACTTCCCTCGGATGCACACTGGTGCATGCTTTATCCAACCTCTTCTAGACTACCTGGTCGACATCAGGGATCGGCTGGCTTTAAATTTGTTAAATTTTAGTGCAAAGAAAATATAAGTCATGTTTCCATCTAATGACACCAACAGGAACCCTTGCATCAACTTTTCCTCTCTGATCCCGTTTGAGAAACAGATTATCACTAATCTGGGAGTGAAAATGAGTTATTCTATGAAACTAAACAGTCATTTAAACACAATTGTTAAATCCTGCTTTTTTAGGTTGAGGCAACTGTCCAAATTGAAAGTCATCATGTCCAAAAGTATGATAACTCTTGAGACATGCTTTCATAATGTCCATGCTTGTTTACTGCAATGTGTTTCTTTTTGGGAAAAGTCAGACTTCTATTGCACATTTGCAACTGTTTTAAAATAATGCAGCCCGATTTTTAACTGGCACAGGCAAAAGAGAGCACGCTGCTCAGTTTTAGCTTCCATTCACAGGTTTAGTGTACTATACAGTCTGTACTGTACTCGTTTGTTCTGAGACTTTCAAAATCGTCAAAAACTGAAAACTTTAAATTCTAATCTGGAAAGTGTGTGGCATTTTATAAAGGGAAATTTGTGTAGGAAGCCTGGTTAATTTATATAAAGGAATGCTGTTGTCTGTCTCTGTTGATGTTCTTTAATATAATTTTTTTTTTTTAGCCTGCTACTTGCCCAAGCCCAGCTCCCAAGAGTATGAGTTTGTATATGTTGACAGTAAAGGGGAGGTGTGCTCCCGGAGCTCCAAGTTCAGTTTTTGTGCTCCAAAGCCACTTGAAGATCTGGTGACCCTTGAGGAAGAGTCCCATGGTGAAGATGAAAGTACAGACATGCTGTTGGTAATACCCAGGGCCGAACTGCTGCAGGTGAGCATTAACAATAACTTATTATTCCGCAAACTTGACGAGATACTGGGTCAGTGTCCTTACAGTGTTGCATAAATAATGAGTGTTTGGGAAAACACGCATCCTGTGAAATATGTCTCAGTAATTTTTGTTCTCATGCAGACTTATTTTTCTTGTCCCATGTCAGAGTCGGCTGCAGGAGTGTCTGCAGAAGCAAGCTGAGCTTTTGCAAAAGCAGGAAGTGGCAAAAAGGCAAAAGGAGGAAGAGAGAGAGAGAAACAAGAGGGCGAAGGAGGCATGGGACAGACAGCGCAGAGGGCTGGAACGTGATATTGCCTGGCTGAAAGAAGAGCTGACACAGAGTCAAAAAACAATTGAGGAAATAGAAAGGAAGCAGAAGGTGATAGATGAAGCTTGAGTAGGAGTGTTTACCATACTTGGCTCTTATCGTCATAAAGTTTCTGCTTTAATATTGTTGCCCCATGTTTTAGGGGGAAAATTGTTCATATATTATGTTAAAATAGGTTACTATTACTGGTTCTTATATAATTTGATGTCTATTATGCCAGGAGGAGCGGGCTTTAGGAGAATCACTTAGCCTGGAAAAAACTGCATTAATGAATTCCAAGGAGGCGAGTGACATGCAAATAAGAGAGCTGGAGGTGGATGTCAGAACCCTAACACAGAGAGCTGTGGAAAGAGAGACAGAGTTGGAGAGGTTCGTATGTTTTTCCCCTCAGTTTTTAACAGTTATGAATAGTTTGATTGTCCATAACCAAATGATTTTGTGCAGAATGAAGGAAAGAGCCAAAAGGGCTGCCGCCTTGAGAAAAGAAGAAGAGATTGAAAGGAAGAGCCTGCAGGTAATTTTATGTTAACACTTATGTTTATGTTGGGTTTCTCTTCTGTTTCTGTGTTTAACTTTTCCCTTTTGGGCTGTTAATGTCTGTCTCTTAGACTAAGCTGGAGCAGACAGAAGCTGAGCTCAGAAGTCTGTCTAAGGAGTTTCAGAGTCTTAGGAACTCCCTCGCACAGAGAGACACCAGCGTGCTGCAACTCCAGAACACCATCACCACCCTCACACAGAAACTCACCACTGCCCACAGGAAGGAGGTCAGACATTTTTATGAGCTGCACAAGTTTGTATACTTAGGGTTTCAGCTACATGTGTAAAACAAATCACATACCTTTCGTATTTGCAGAAAGTCATTTATCATAATAAGACACACAATCTCAGTTTTTCAAGTTGATACTGCAATTTATTATGATTTAGACTGATCTAAGGGAGACTTTTTTCCAGAAATACACCATCTTGGCTAGTTTAAAGTAACAGTTAAGTGTTCGTTTATTTTAAAATATACTGAAAGTTATATTTGTGTCTGGCTTTTCTTATTTGGATTTGTTTTTCCTCAGGACAAGTAATGCTTAGCACATCAGTGATTAAGTGTAATGTTTCCAGACTTTTCACCTTCCAACCCACAAAATGGCAATGGCAGAGACTTGTGACTGTATCTATCATTGGTTGAACTATGTAATTGTTCCTTTTAGGCCGCTTAAATAAAGGCACAATGACAAGAAATATTAGTACAGGTATATAACCAATAAATAAATAAATGATAAATGGGCAGTTTGAGAATAAGGGTTTAGCTTTTCTGGCAAAAAGTGATGTACAGCAACATGCTTTTATATCCTGTTAACAGGCAGAGAGTGAAGCATCGCTGAAAGAGATGAGGAGTCTGCGGGGGCGTCTCCACATGAGTGAGCGCACCGCAGAAGGCTTAAAGAGAGATCTCAGCGCCATGGTGGCTCAGAGGGATCACGGGCAGGCCGAACTGCACCAGGCTCAACTCCAGGCTGCACGGCTCGCCATTCAACTCGCAGATGTCAGTATGACCCTGAGAAAAGACAGCGCCCACTGGGAGGAAGAGAGAGAAAATCTGCAGCGCTCTGTTGAGGTAATGTGTTGTTGCAGAATATTAAATCTGGAGAAGTTAGGAACCCGCTTCGAGTTGGAATATTACCTCACTGCAACTTCACTGCCTTAGGTGGTTATATTCTTGGCAGAGAAAGTGTTTTATAGTGTTTCTGTTGCTCTGACAGATGGACAAGAAGCGCTTGGAGAAACTCAACATGGAGTTTCAGAGGATTGAAGAAAAACTGCAGGAGGAAAAGATGGAAAGAGTAAAACAGGAAGTTGAGCTTGGAAGAGAAAAAGACTGCAATAGGGTAAGAAAGTGTACTTTTTCCTGTTTATGTGACAGATGCTTTGTGCCAAAAAACAGTAACAAACTGGTGGGGATTATGTGATGAATTCATATATTATTGGTCATTGTGATTTATTTTATTCCACTGTGAAATGTTTTTGTGTGTCTGGCCTCCAGGTTCAGCTGAGTGAAACCCGGAGGGAGCTTCAAGAGCTGAAAGCCAGCCTGAGGGTGGCCCAGAAGGAGAAGGAACTGCTACAAGCAGAGAAACAGGTCAGAAACAGTTCAGTTCAGTTCAGTTCACAAACCTTACATTTTCTTGTTTTTTAACATAATTGGGGGAGTGGTGGTGCAGAGGTTAGAAGATGGGCTTGTGATCGGAAAGTCGCAGGTTCACCTCCTGGTACCGTCAACATCAAAATGTGGGTAGAAAAGGTGAAACACCCACACCTCCCTCCACCTTCATTCGCCCCACTGTGGGCCCCTGAGCAAGGCCCTTAACCCCCACCATCTGCTCCCTAAACAGGTTTCTCTTGAAAATGAGTTCTCATGGCTCAGTGAGACTACCTGGATAAATAAAGGGTAAATGAAAAAAAAAAAAAGTTTAAAAAACATCCTGAGGCTAAAACTTACTGTTACAACTGGTTTACTGGTACTGTGAATGTTCCCAACCGGTGGTGTTGGGAATCTTCTCTCTGTTGTTACTCCCATGTTATTGCTCAGTATAAATTGTTTATGGTGCAATATAAAATGGTGGATTTCAGGGCAGTCGGTGCTGGGGCTGTTAATGTGCCTGAAGAGTTTTTGTTGGCTAACCAGTTCACTATTGCCAGATGCAGACAGACTAGAAAAAAAAGTTTATTTTTTTTTATCATTGTCCAGCTTCATTTGAGCATTAGTCATAGAATGGCAGACAATCAGTAGCACGTAAACTCAGTAAAATAAGGATTCAAATTTTTAGTGCACAGTGACAGTAGTATTTATGTAACACCAAATGTTGTATTTTTGTATTTACTGTCCAACATCTTTATGTGACTTTGGTTTGAAGGTGTCAGATATCATAAGGGTTATAACAGTGATGGCTGCTGAAGTCATGATCAAAGTCCCGCCCTAGTTTGTGATGTGATCCTTGTAATTTCTCCTGCAGGAGTTGATGGAGTACATCTGTCAGCTGGAGCAGAAGATGGGAACAGTGACCACTGCCAGGTGGGACGCTGCTCCGATTGCCTCCACAGGTGAATTGAGCTGCGCATCAATCTATTGGACGCCCTGCAGATATGAACAATAAAAGTGTTATCTGCTATCACTCAGGAGCAGCACTAAATACTGTTCAGCGTGGCCTGTGTTGCGTGTGACAAGAGCAGTGCTCTGTGAAAAAAGAAAAGTGACCCCCTTTCCCTTTTTTTTTTTTTTTTTTCCCCTCAACCAATTTATCTGGCTGGAGGTCCCGACGCTGCCTTATCGGACTCAGATGATGGGAGTCCAGAGGCTGTACAGATCCTCCAATCACCAAGAGCTCTGGGACACTACAGCCTGTGCGAGCAGGGTCAGCCTGACTCCTTACTCCTGTCGACCCCCCCTCCCTCACCGAGGGACATGGACAGAAGTGCAGTGGTGATCAACCAGCCTGCCCCGCTCTCCCTGCCACACCAGGCCACAGCCAACACTCTGGCACACAGCTCTGATTCGGTGAGACGTGTTATCAGAGCCATTCATTGTCACCACAGTTTAATTATATGTGATACTGAAAATGAGCTATGGCTTCACGCTGATAGCAACACACCAGTTAAACATGGGCAGTGGGTCGTTTGATATGGACATTATCTCATGGAAGCAATTAGGTCGCTAGTTGGAAACTTATTAGACTGTAATAGCTGCTGGAGAGATATGAGTTAAATGTCGGTGTGTGTGTTTTCTGGTGTAGGAGGAGGAATCTGATCCAGTTCAGTGTGGAAGGAAAAGCTCTGCAGAGGAAATGGCACATTTTCTTCCAGAGTACGACACTGTTCTCAGGTACAAACTTCTGCAAGAAATCCCCAAAATCTTAGCTACACTCAAGGTAAACAGTTACATATACTCAGGAAGCATGTGTTTAATGAGAATTAATGCAAAATTAGATGTCCAACATTGGAATAACTTTCAGGTTTTTACTGCTTTACCTGCTGCAAGTTAGGCTAAATTATTTACAGTGAGAAGTAAAATTTTACTGAGGTTAAAACTAGCTTGAAGATGACATCAATAAAATTTTAAGTACATATCAGTGCACACGTCTGAAATGGCAGTTATGGTTAATTTCTCTGTACTTTTATTTGGGATACTTAAAGTGTACTTTCCCAAACTCACATTCATTTTCAATGCAGGAATTGTACTGTAAACAGCTTAGTTTCACAGCTGTATTAGCACTAAAGAAACTTTTTTAACCATTACTTTTTCATGAAAACAAGAAAATGTTTTATATTCCAGAGGTTTTAACCATTTCATAAACTGCTACTGTTTTTGCCTCGAAAAGGCAGAAATAATGACTTTCTGATGTTGAGAATAGGCTTGCACAAAATTTATTGTCATAACAATTTCAACATGTGCAGTTTGAATATTTCAAAAGATTGCTCTGACTGTGGTAAATCATGGGACGTGATGTTTCAAGCAGGCGCTCTGTGTGGTGAGCAACGTAATGATAAAACAGAAAACAGATTCATAAGAACAGTTCTTTATTGATATCAAATTAATTTTCAACAATAATATTGCAAATTCATGTTTTTACGAAACTTTGCTGTTTTACTCAAGATGAAGAATATTCACTATATTAAAGACTTACAGGATTAAACATCTAGCAGCAGGATGACTGGAACTACTTGCAGATAAATTTCTGATGCACAGAAACAGAGATGAGAATTGCCAACTGGGCAAGGATAAAAACAAGCTTGCAGATATTTTTCTGTCATGCTGTCTGGTTTAAAACTTCAGCAACCTGTCACAGTTTTAAGAGCTTGTGTCTTGATTTGTGCTTGTAGTCTAACTCTGCAAAGTAATTAGTGAACCAACTCGCTTAATAAATGTAGCGGAGTAAGAATTATGATGGATTCCCCTGAGATTTACCAGATAAGAGCATTAAACATCATCACACTGAAAAATGCATTAATTAGAATTTAAAAAAATAACTAAACACTTTGCTCCTCTGGCCTCACAGAGAAATGGGTTTCCTTTGAATTCAGAGCGTGCAAATGCACACGGGCATATGCACGCCATTATTTATGGTGACAGGCGAGCTATGGCTAGAAGATGGAAGTTTTGAATATGTGGTCATAAAAGAAGTTGAGTCAGGGTGAAGCGGGGGAGACAGTTTGCGACAGAGTTGAGGCGTCAGGGGTGGGGGTAAGATGGGAGGACAAGGGGACAGACAATTTGACAGCAAGCTGTAGCAATGATTTACCTGAGGGGTGTACCGCAGTCACGGGCCAATTTTCAGCATCGTTAAGGCTCTCGTTCTCCCACTCGCCCGCTCCTTCTGCCTCCTCATTCAGCCAGAGTGTGTGTCTCCTCAGATTTTAACACTCTCTCTCTCTCACACACACACACACACACACTGCTTTGTGTCTTCCTCTAGTGATCTGGACAGTCCGTTATGGTGACGAGAGAACTTCCAGCCACGGCCACAACAACAGGAAAGGACTTTGCTGGAGTTTGTTTCCAGTTCTGTCAGACGAACAAGCACATAAACATAATGTTAATATGCAATTACTGTATATCTGCTGCCAGCCATTTTTTTTCTTTCTTTCTACTTTAGACTGTTGTGTTGTTGCCTTGATTGTTTTGACAGTGTTTGGCCGGTCATGTTTATGACTTGCATAAGACTGTTGCTCAGTTTGTAGTGGCGCGGTTTTCGGCATGCGCTCCAGTGTTTTAGAGTCTGCACGCTGTAGCAGAATGGTTTTTCGTTGAATCATTGCTTTGTCGAGAGCTTTACGACAGATGCAGTGTCGTTTTTATGGCAGTTGTGATTAGGAGTCACGACAGGCGCTGTAATTATGATGTTTTGTGCAGGTCTGGCTCCACGAAAAATCGTAGCAAAACTCTAATTTAAATCCAAACTTTTCATGGCAGCATAAAGAAACAAAATATAGTCATGCTAAAATATATTCCTTTAAAGCAGGTCTGTGTCATATTTCTCCTCCATTTACTCACAACTAAGATTTGATGAGCACTTTTTTTGTTTATTATAGCAGTTGATTGTTGTCATGCAGGTGCAGTGAAAAGAGACTGAGTGAAGCAAAGACTTTCTTTTTAATTAGTAAGCTTTTTGAGATAATTAGAGTCAATTAAGGCAGATGTCACATGCATGCAGTTTTCTACATCTGTAGCTGCGTATAATTATTATAAAACTGCTCCTACTCTTTCCAGATCTGCTACGAATTTTTTGTTAATGAACAAAGATGTTGTGTTTCATAATAGTTAAAATTATCATCATGTTCATTTGCATATTTAGCTGGAGCCTTTATTACAGTTTATCGTATGCAAAAAATCTTAACTCATGCAGTTTTTAAATTTGTGCCTAAAATTATAACCTAAGAGTAGAAAAAAAAATCATTTTTAAATATCCTGACGCAGCTTTTAGGTGTTTGTTTTTTTTTTCTCCTGGAACTATAATGCCCAATAAAAACTTGTAGCCTACCTTTAAATCAATACTGTATGCATTTTTCATGGTTTTCTATTTATAATTAACTTGAGTTATGCTACAAGTAAACTATAATCAGTTTTAGTTTCAGTTTGTGCAATGTAGCGTACTAAATTTTCCATCCGCAGTGAAGATGATTAGCTATAAACACTTTGATGCTCAATTTTTCTTGCTGTTTTTGCACCCTGTTTTTACTATAGGACATTTTTTAGATAAAAACCTTGATACTCCGTTGTGTGATTTCCTAATTTTTCTAACTATAAAACTGTGCTGTAGTGACTCATTTTCATGTATGTTTTTATGGATGTGTTTGCTTTCTGCTTTCAAATGCTCCACATGAAAACTTCTTGAGTTTAATATTTGGGATTAATTTTTGCAAATTATTGGTGCTACAGAAAGGGATTGATACCAGCTGATTAAATCAGATAAAAAACTAATACAATATATTTTTCAATCAGAAAAGTAAAATATGCACTGTACTCTTGTATTTTTATTGTTAAACATATGTATTATATCCTGAGTACATTGAAGGATTGAAGATTTAAAAATGTACTGTCTTTCCAGAAACAAAAGGACACTAAATATACTGCAATATTCTTGATTGCATTTGGCTCACACTTTATGACTCAAAAACAATAGTTTGGATTGTTTGAAGTACGGTTCTAGTTAAAGGTTGTGGATAATATCTTACCTGTTGTAGATAGCTTTTTGAACAACCTCAGGCCCTGTTTACACGATTTTTTGAAGTGAAACTGGAGCTTTTCTGCTGCAGTTTAGTCGTTCGTAGACATCACATTATCCTTGTTTCCTCTGAAACCAAAAGTTTCTGAATCCAGGTCTCAGAGGGGAGGTTTGTAGGACATCCCCCCCCACACACACCCACCCACCCACACACACACACCACCACCCTGATGAGCAACAGCTGATATCAAAGTTCTGTTAGTCACCCTTTTCAACATGCAGGAGCATCTCAACCTCGGTCCAAACAAAGGTTCCTGTATTCACCATTTTGGATATTAGGGCTGGACAATAATTCGATATCGATATATATCACGATATACTTTTATTCAATAACGGTGATATGAAAGCACATTTTCGATATTTCGATATGATTACAGCATTTCACTGCCGCATTTCTTTTTCTGTTCGGGTTGAAGCGGCCGCTTCAGTTTCAACCCGGACAGAAAAAGGTGCGACACAACTACGTAAGTGCGTGGTGACGTAGATGTCACGCAGAGCTCGAGTCCAGAAGGTGTTAGCGGTAGCAGGCTAGGCTAGGCTAATCTCAATGTGCATTAAGTTTTCGCTTCTAAATGAGTGCCCATGACCGTCAGAATGTGACTGAGCAATCTTTCACACGCGAAGAGAAAGCAGATGACATAACTGATAAGAGAGAGAAGACTAATTTGGCGGTGTGGAAGTGGTTCGGCTATCTTAAGATCCGCTAAACTGCAGGTTTCAGTGTGCTGCGACATGTGATGGAGAGTTGTTCGAACTAACGGTGGGAACACATCTAACTTGTTTCATCTGAAGAGTTTCCACTTGATAGAATATGCTGAGAGTCAGAAGATGAAGTACCATAAAGTTTGAGCCATCATGTCCCTGAAACAACACCCCCAGTTGTACCAACAGAGAAACCTATGCAGCAAACTTCTGAGTTCTGGGTTGTTAGGTTATGTTGTTGTTTAACGTTAAAACTATTAATATTGACAAAGTTGAGAGTTGTATGTTTATTTGACGATGATTTCAAAATTGTTTGAAGGCTAAATCCAAATAAAAGGTGAACATTAATTTATTTGTACAGTTTGTACGGTTTTTCTGAGGCTTTTATATTGTTTATATCAATATCGAATTATATCGTTATCGACCGAAATTAAGAAATATATTATGATAAAAGTTTTGGCCATATCGTCCAGCCCTATTGGATATTAGCGTTATGGTTCTCATGCTGGGACTGCATGTGTCTCCCATTGGAGCTCAGCATCAGTGTTGCCAGATAAACAACAATTATCCTTTTTAAACCCACCCTCCTTTACTGTGCACATGCACAACACACGCCTCATCTTACAACGTCCCTCTACAAGAAAGTGCACCTCACTCATCATATATTTGGGGGAGTGGTGGCGCGGAAGTTAGAGAAGGTAAGCCTGTTATCGGAAGGTTGCCAGTTCAACTCCCCTGACCGACAACATCAAAATGTGGGTGGAAAAGGTGAAACACCCATACCTTCCTCCACCCACATTTGCCTCACCCTGGGCCCTTGAGCAAGGCCCTTAACCCCCACCATCTGCTTCCAAACAGGTCTCTCTTGAAAATGAGTCCTCTTGACTCAGTGAGACTACCTGTATAAATAAAGGTTAAATAAAATAAAATTGATAGTTTGAGTCCAAATACAATACTTTTAAAGCAACTGTACAGTACTTCTTAATTTCCTATCTGATAACACTGTCTGGCATGAAAACTACGCAGATTCGTGTAAATGTTTGTTTTTGTCTTGTTGGTTCACCAAAATAAACATTGAAAAACACTTTCGCTTCCAAAGATCATTCTCATGCAAACATGGCCTCAGTTTGGAGAAACGGAGTTTGGTTCTGATGAGTTTGAAGAGCAAACAGCTAGTCGTAACAGTGAAGACCCAAAATTAATTACTACTTTCTTTAAACCAAAAAAACTCAACAATTTAACAACAGTTAATGCAAAAGCTATTTTAGAAACCTTTCATGGTTATTCCTAAAAAAAAGAAGACATTCCACCCAAAGTCCTCCATGCTCCACCAGATGTGCTACAGCTAGCTACTACTGACACTTTTTGCTAAAAAAAAAACCTTAGTATACTTTATAACTAACTGGGTCATACAAATACACTGTGATGTAAAGGTTTACAAAATAATTTGGCGTAAATGTCTATTTTTTTAAATGGGAGCTGTTTTAAGACTACAGTACCACCATGGCCTTGGTGCCACTCCCACTAACCTTTAGCTTATCAAGCTGGTCCAAATCTGTTCATGGTTCCAATTTCACTCTAAAGTCTAAATTTCCAAGTCAGAAAAAACAACTGAAACACCCCTAAGGTCAGCATTCCCACTCGTAAAGTTCTTACTTAAAAGTTAAAATGTGGCATAATTCTCCAAACCAAAGTTCATAGATCACTTGACAACAAGTAGGACATTAATTGTTCATAGCCTTTCCACAAAACCCTACTTCAATATATCTTTTAGGGAAGATGTTTGTTTAAGTCCACGGAGAGCTCCCTGTCACTGCAGCAGAGCCTCAGTTATGATTTATTTGGGAAGTTTTGTGTGTAAAGCTTACCCTGTGTTTAATTTCAGTCATGTAACAGTTTTTGATGCGTCTCAGCATAATAAAAGTATTAATCTACAGGGCTGATGTGTTGGGGGTGTCTTTTTTTTTCTTCTAAGCCAAGGAGTATTACAATATTTTGATTCTCTCATGACATTTCACTTGTAATTATCTCTAATTTCTTTGTCCACACTTCTATAGCATTTGGCTCATTGTATGTTTCTAATTTTGAGTTATTGCTCGACTTGACCCACCTCGTGGCTGGCATCGTCATCCTCCTCCCTGTGCCTTCTCCCTCCTCTGGCAATGTCCTGCTCTATCTTAAGTTTTCCTCCTACCCCCCTTCTACTACACCCCTCCCATCTTAAGTCTGGGGTGACGATAGCTAATTATAAAATCAATGATGCCGGGCTGCCTAGTTTACAGCCCCCTCTAAAATCTTAACTGGGAAATCACTGTGGGATTGATGACTCCCTCACTCTTTATCTCTTTTAATTAGAAATGTAAAAGATATGAAGACCCAGAGGCCAGAGCACATCTCCTAGTTTTTATGACCCCCCCTCCCCCCCAACACCGTCCTGTCCAGCACTCAGTCTCTTTCCCCAAATTGCCACCCCTCTGCACCTCCTCATGCACCTGCTTTTGTTTATCCCCTCTGCCTCCCATCTGGCACACCTCTCACTCTCATCCAAGTTACCTTTACTCATTTCCTCATCTTTTACTCAATCACCTTTCTCTGGTATCGTGTGACTTTCTCCTTGCACAGGAGGTGTTAAATTTATGGCCTTTGCACTCTAAAACGTTCCTCACCTTCCCTTCACCTCTTCTTTCTTCCCTTGACTGATTTCTAACTCACCATGGATTCACTGCAAATGCACGAGATGTCCTTTTTGTCTGTTTTGACCCAGGAAGGAGGCGCAGAGTAAACGACGTGCTGTTTCACATCATGACCCTGCCTCCAATTCCACCAGACAAGCCTCCTCAGTTTTTTTTTTTGTTTTTTTTTTAATCGCATCAGAACCCAGGTCACATACAACTTCAATCCCAGACCCTGCCTCCCTAACTGCTGCGAGGAGCACTCAGGTTCTCCGAGCTTTATCTTCCTGATCACTCTCGGAGGAGCTGCAGCCTCTGCCGGTCCATTTATCTCCCCCTGCATGTTGTCTGAAGCACCGCTGCGGTCCACTCGTGCTCAGAGCTGATTTTAAATATTCAAATGAGCTGCTTTGGTGTGCTGCACTCATGACCCATTTTTATGGATTTTTATTTTTTGTGGATAACTGATAGCAAGCAGTAAGGTTAAAGAGACATTTTAATCTAGATTAATTAGTTAACACATTTTTGTTTCATTCTTTTATTCCCATAGTGTCATCAATATGTCGGACTGTGCATTTAGAAATCTACCCTGGCTCCTTTAAACTCCCCCTCCTTGAGGTTACCATGGCAACACCTTGAAGGGTCCACGGTATATGAGGCAATTTGACTGTTCCTTGTAAAGTGGTGTATAATGTATGGGCCTTATTTTAATTCCAGTCTGGCATTATTGATCTGTCTTTAATGATAGTTAATTAAAGCAATCGTATAATTGATAGAATCTCATCTCCGTTTATCGCCCTCCTCTGATTCTCTTCGGCGTTCTATTAATAAAAATCAAAGAGAGGAATTAGTGTCCCCACATTCACACCCTGAAAGGAAGAGGCGTTTACAATCGACGGGCCTTTCTTAAAACAATTCCTGTTCGATGAAGATAAGGCTGCGATTGGGAAAAGATTTGTCTGGTGGATGTTTATAAGGTCAGTGTGAAAAATTATTAAGATTTTATTATTAATTTACCTGATGAAAGTGGAGTTTGTATAGTGCGTGAAGCTCTGACTTTCATTTTTCTGTTTCATTTCAAGACTATTTTTAGTTTAGGTGCGCTGCATCAACAAGTTGAAATATCACACCGTCTGAAAGCATCGCTTTAATTTCCCCTGCCATAACATCAAACATTGCAGGTACACAATACAATACATAATGTGTTTTTGCTAAATATAGAAAAATACTGGCCAGATATCTAACTACGTTTGTGTCTAGTTAAGCTTTTTTGATAGTTCCAGGTCTCTAATCTCTAAATTTGATCTTGTAATTTATCAGCAAATATAAATATTTATAGCCAATTTAAACCTTTTTTTTTTTTAATCATTTACAGATCTGATTTTCTGTTAAAATGCTAAAAATCTAAAGTTTTCCAACAACTTGAGATAAAACTGGAGGAAAAGTGTTGTACTCCAGGAGAACAAATCTTAGGAGCAGACCTTTATCTGATGCCCTTGTTCAGCAAGAGACTGTGATTTATTAGCCGTGGCTCTCCCCTGTTTTTGCAGACCCTGGGCTCCTCTCCTCCACAAAATGAACACTGCTGCATGCAGTAAAGCCTGGAGTGACAGAGCAAGAGCTCTCTCTGCTGCTACAACTGGGTAACAGCTGGCTGGAGTGTGTTAGTTTGAGTTCAAGCATTATTTCTGCAACAGGAAGACCGTGTAATAAAAAGTCCAGCACTGTCACAAAAGTAGTTTATTGTGCCTCTTACTGTTTATATGGCTTTTCTTTGTATGACAACAATTGACATAAACAGAGGATTGGCAACACAAAGGCCATGTTTGAAAAAAAATAATACATAAGACAACATAATCTCAATGTTTTGCCAGCATTACCATCACAAATGGATGAGATCGCCACACAAGAGTTTGTGTGACAGCACCATGCTGCAGACGTCCACTCCATGACTGAAATCATGTTCAAGCATTCATGCGCTCGTACGCTCACACACACACGCACACATGAGAAAACCTACCCACATTCAGAAGACAAGTCTCACTGCTACGGAGAGAATATTGCTTCAAACAGAAAGAGGAAAAAGAACACCTCTGTACTGCAGATCAGCCATGTTTTCCCAGCTGTTCGCCCACTGTGACATTTTGGCAATTGAGAAGTGAGAACACACATTCCTCTGCTTTTTGTTTTCCTCAAAAAGTATCAAACATACATAGGATAACAAAGATAAGATAATGGCTTTTGGGATGAGAAGGCAGTTTGTTGCATGGATTCCAGCACAATCGCAGTCAGGAGGCAGGTAATGATAAAGATGACGACGCGCCGTCCCCCTAAAGAGAGTCAGACTGACATCCAAGCCTTCTAGGTACACACAGAGATTTGAGAATCCACACGTAGTTAAGAAAACACATAAATATTGCCTGATTCTAGCATGCCTCAAGAAAAAAGCAGCTAGTGTTTGGTCCTCACTGAAAGCCCTGAGTCTGATTCAAAATGTCTTTCAAAAACAAAAATAAAACGTCCTGTCACGGCTTGCATATGCCTTTAATCCTTGCGTCGATGCGCCCGTGTGTGGATGTGTCTACGCTGACATGAGCATTCAGCCAGCATCCTTGGGGAGCGCTATAAAGTTGATTGTATTAATGCTGATGCTTTCATCAGCTCTGACATGCTCAGCGATGGTGGCTTTACTCATGAAATATGAAGTGTGCCTAAGTTGGACAAAGGATCACAAAAGTGCTACAAGTAAGTCCAAACCTTTGTCCTGGCACATCTACTTCTGAAGAGGAAGTGTAAGGAGTGTGTGTGTGTATTCTTTGTAAGCTTACTGTACATGTAGAGATAGTATTGGCTGATTGTAGCTGGACGACAACTTTCCCCCCTAACTTTGGCACAAACATACATCCTGCATTAACAGCACACGTTGACTAAAATGGCAGCAAAATGGAAAAAAAAAATGCCAACTCCCTGATAACAGAAACCATTTAAGTCAATGTAACATGAAAGTTTGTAGAAGCTCTCTGGGTTGATTATCAAAGTGAGCAAAAGTACTCAGAGAAGCTGAAAACCTGTAGCTACTAATAAGGAAGACCCTTTTTTCGTTCTGAATATCTTCTCAGGAAATCTCCTTAAAGGAAAAACTTGCCAAAAGAATTCATATATAAAACCAGAATAAACACATAAAAGACAAATTATTACATTACACAGATATGTATGGACTTATTCAGTAACTTGAGGGGGAAAAAAACGCTAAAAAGAAACAATAATTCAAAATAGCAATAACAACTAAAACTAAAGATTAGCATACACAATTTGGTTTTGCCCTGTACTTTTGTTGTAATGTGCTTGTTGCAATCCATTGCGATCGACTGCTCAGTTCTGGAGTCTGGTTTGGCTGTTTCACTATTCAGATACTATAAAGAAAAAAAGAGAAATATTCAGCTTTTTCAAAGAGGTTCTGTTCTTTTTTTTTTTACTTTTTTTTTTCTTCTCATGTTTACTTCCCTCGTGGCTTTGCCAGGAGTTCATATGGTTTTTCTTTTTGCAGTTTACAAGTCATGGACCATGTGGCCTGAGTTAGAAGGTGTCTGTACACTTAAGGCTCCTGTTGTGCTCCGCTGAAGAAGACACAGTGATGTGCAGCATGGAGAGCAGAGCAGAGTGGGGGGCAGAGGGGTGTGGGGGGTAGCATTTTTTTTTTTTTTGGACATGGAAGAGTGAATGAGGTTGTGCTGTGTGTACATGGGTTTGTATGTGTATGTGCGTGCATCTAGAACTTGTATGGATGTGTCTGTGCACAAAATGTTCTCTTCACTGCGCCCTCCCAACAAGGCCTTTCCTCGACCCATCTACGTTATCCGAAACCACCCAGGACTCCCCATCACTGTCCGAGCCCCTGTCTCGGTCCTCGTCTCCCACATCGTCATCATCGTCTTCGTCCTCCTCTTCTGGCGACGGCTCGCTGCCATTTTCTGTGACCCAGCTGTCCTCCTCATCCTCAGCTTCTTGCTTCACAACAAGTGCTGGTGGTGGTGGTGGTGGTGGTGGGGATGGCTCGCTTTTGCTACACTCCGTTTGGTCTTCAAAGGCCTCTGGGTTCTCGAGCATCTCCCTGATCAGAGGAGGCATTGGGCCTGGGATCTCCATCTTTAGGGTGATGGCTCTCTCTGCACCTGGAAACGAGGGGAATGCATTGGCAGATAATTAACAGGTGCATCTTTATGATATTGCAAAAAAAAAAAAAAAAAAGATGCCAGAGAATATAAGCTAGAATTTAATGTTATCTGGTAGAGTTTCTTGTAACTATGGAACATTTTCAGCTATAAAGATGTATAAAAATTATGGTCGCCAATAAAAAGTCATTCAAAATTGGTTCAAAGTGAAAATGGTAAAACTGACTGAACCATCACATTTAGTTCATATTTCATCTGGTTTTGCAGTAGGAATAAAACTATATTTAAAGGAAGTCTAATTTTGATCAATATACTGTACACAACTGAAGCACAACTTCTAAAACACAGTGATATCTAGTAGTTAAATTGTAAAATACAGGAAACTGAATACTGTCTCCTCATCTGTATTTCTTATCCCAGAAAACGTAAGAAATTCTTAGAAGGTTCATAAAAACAAAACAGCAGACTTTAGACCAGTGTTTGAGTCAACGCAACCCAGCAGACCGACATGATGGGTGGTGAAAATAATTAGTAAAATTAATAATTTCACACATTTATACACTTTAAAGAACATGAGCTTTCTACTGCATTTCTTTATACAGTTGAATCTGATCTTACATCATCATACTGTCTTTAAAGCTTATTGCTGATAGCAAAAAAAATTACTACTATTTTATTCTATCCAAAACAACATCTTACATTTTATAGTCAACATCTTGCCATATCGGAGCTTTTATTCTGATTGGAATAGTAATTATGGATTTGGTTGAAAAGGGGGCAAAAAATGTGAATCTGTTAAAAAAAAAAAAAATGTAGTACTGACCCTTTGTGCTGATCCCCCTCAAGTCAGTGATCTTCATCAGCATGCGGGGGAACATGTGGGGTTTGTTGGGGCGTCTGCGACGAGCGTAGATCTTAAGAGCCTCAAGTAGAGGCTCTTGCAGCTTATCCACTTTCTCAGGCTCCTCTAGATCACTGCGATCTGATGAGTAACAAAAATGCTTTAAGTTGTCTTTATATTTGTACTTGAACAAAACAAATAAAACAAAATGTTTTACCAGCGCCCTAATTTTGTGAGAGTGGTAACACTATTACAAAAATAAAGTAATGATAATAATAAATAAACCAATTCTACTTCCTCTTTTGCAAATATGTAGTTGATTGCGTATGTGTATGCTGCAGTACCTCCACAGATGAGGCAGATGGCACTGAGGAGACCAGTTTCTGTGTCATCCATCTCCAGAGGCAGAAGTTGACCAGCAAAGGCAAAGACCAGGTCTGTTAGAGGTCCAAAGCCAGCGTTGTGCATCTGAGTTCGATTCAAAGTCAGGCCGTCTGAGAAAGTCATAGTGTCCTGTTCTGGAGTGTAGCGTGTGCAGATTCTCAGCATCTATAAATACAAGAAGGTGAAAGCTGACATGAGATTTCAGTGAAATAAGATGTAAATGTATTATAAACATGCATAAAAGGCTAAATTTTAAAAAAGAAATAAGAAATATAGTGATTCATTTTAAAGTAACGCTCAGCATTATCTGAACAAACTTCCCTGCACTACCACCTTCGCCCACCAGATACCGACACAATCTCAGCACACTCTGCATAAACTATTAAATCATAAATAAAACCATGTAAAGAAGACAGGATATTTTAAAGCCTCGTACCAGGATGTCCAGGCAGGCTGACTTCAGCAGAGTGATCTGGTCAGCGATGGTCAGGCTGGTGAAACCTGGCAGCCGCTTGGCAAATTCCACAATCTTAATGATGCATTTGGTGGAGAGCTCGCTGAACTTGTCCCAAAGTCCCAGATCCAGCTGAACACGGTGGTCTGAGCTGGAGTTCTGAACACACAAACACCCCCGTCAACACACATGCACACACAGCTTAAGATGATGAACCACAGGAAGTGTGCAACCCTGTTTGCATCAATGTCAAATGTATCAGAGCCTCATAACACATTTGCATGTTCCATCTATCAACTGGAAAACAATAAAATAATTTGCACGTTTTATCAATCATTCAGACACCACAAACAGGCTTAATGGACAACTGAACTAATTAAGCCTTCCCTTTTTGAGGAAATTTAAGGTTTGTGTTAGTCTGTGGTAAAGAATGTTACTCCACACACTAGGTTTACATCACAAGTATAACTTCCTATGTATGACTTACGGTGGTGTATTTTCCCAGTTGGCAAAGTGACGGAAAGGTTTCCTGATGAGCTTTGCTCACTTTATTAACCAACTCTTCAAGCTCTCCACTTAGCTCATAGCTCTCAGGAAGCACCACCTCCTCCTTCACATCCTTCTTCTTCTTGTTTCTGTCATTACGCACCGCTGCATGAAGACAAATACAAGCAAAGACTGTAGCAGTTGGGAAAAAGACAGCAGAAAATTATTTTTAAACCATTTTAAAGATCCCCGACAAGATATTTAATATTATTCTCTAATATGTACATGTTTGGTATTTGTCATTATCACCAGAAACAACTCAGAAGCTGTTTTTAACAACACAGACTGTAAATTTCTATTTTATCATCCAGTTGCTTTCATGTCAATCTATCAATCTACCAATGCACATAAGTCCGTCCACTCTCTCCTGCACTGCCTCCTCTCCCTCATCCGCCTCCCATACTTTCCTTCCTCTCAGGATATCCAGTAATAGCAGAGGCACAATGTGATCCCGGTCTTAACACACATCCCACACAAACATTACACCCACATACATGTCCCACGGGTTCTGCAAAGGGTGAGATATACTAACACTTATTGTACATGCGGCCATCCAAAATAGACGGCAAAAAACTGAGGTCTTCTTTGATTATGTGAACAACATGAATCCTGCTGTTGCAAATATCTTCGTCATGACTCTAAATCATGCAATCTTCTGTTGTCCTCATAAATGAACACAGTGTGTCTTTTGCTGGCCAGAGGGATTAGGTTTTGTGGTGAAACAGGAAGTCAAATTCATTTTGAGCAGCGATTAGTCATATGATTGGTTCAGTGCCCAGCCTCGCCCTGATCACCACCCCTGGAAGTCTCATCATCTGCTTCTGTATTCTTGCTGCGTAGTTTCCCAGAGCCTCTGTCTGAACATTAAAAGATTGATTAAACAACCTCAAGTCTGAAGCCCTATGTGGATGTGAGTGAATTACCCTGTTTGAAAATTCGGTCTTTCATGCAGGGCTCACCTTCTTTGGACATGCCGACCTCAAAGCACTTCTGCAGCCTGCAGTACTGGCAGCGGTTGCGTGTGACCTTGTTAATCTGGCAGTTCTTGTCTCGATGGCAGGTGTATACCATGTTCTTCTGGATACTGCGACGGAAGAAGCCCTGCAGCAGTAGAAAGCAAGAGACAAAAGAAGAGAATGCAAGAGAAAGAAAATGGTTAGAATAGTTATCAAACAAAGGACGTGACATTTAAATTTGCGCAGATTGCCTACTAGACGCTTCCCTTTTTTACTTGACGAAAAAACAACAACTACTGAATAGACGTATGTACAGCACAGTGGCAGGTTTTTTCCTCACCTTGCAGCCCTCACAGGAGCTGACCCCATAGTGATACCCTGAGGACTTGTCCTGGCACACAAAGCAGGGCTTGTAGACACGAGGTGGAGGAGGGGGAGATGGAGAACTGGGTACCATCTCCTCTGAGCTGGTGCTCTGGGTCTCCACCGCTGTGAAAGTAATAAAGAAAAAAAAAAAACAGCACATGAACATGCAATTTGTCACTAATCTTGCATCTACTAGTGTTTGGTTTACAAACGCCTCATATGCACCTGTCACTTTATGCTGCTTGTACTGCGTTCAGACAAGACAGCTGACAGAGATTCCTTTCTAAATTCTAGACAGAATGGGTAAACATTTAGCCATGCATTTAAAAGGTAAATAATAGTCTGTCTGTGGGACAAAACTGATCAGATTACAGCCTGAATGAGATAAAAGTCACTGAACAGCAGTTTCCTGGTACTAATCGTCGCCTCCCTATAAGGCCATTCTTTGAATCATAACTGAGGAGATCATTAGTTCATGTGTTGGATAGTTTATCACAGTAAGCAAGAGTAAGTACTTTTGATTGACAAGTGGTTGTTTGACAAAATAGGTATTAGAATTAGTTACTGAAACAAAAAGTCAGAGCTGGCTTCTCCTCATTCCACAAACACGCCCTAAATGCACAGAAAGGCCACGTAACAACTACACAAGCTCACAGAACTGGTGTAAGGCTTCACTTCAAACATTCAAACTCTAGCCCAGCTGTGATGCCAATGTCTCCTCATGTCACATATTTGCTATGGTACATTACACTTCATTGTATTACCAAGTGGACCACGTATATACTCCGTACACTGAACACATTCATACACCACGCAGATTGTGGATATGTATGAGATCTATAGGTCCCCTGAGAAACAAAAACTGCTGCACACATATATGACCAGAACTTAAGCACACATGCTAGTCTGGACAAACTCTCTCACTTCCACCCCCTACCCCTCAACCAACCCACCCACACACAAAAAAAAAAAAAACTTTCACCCATGGTCACCTTTTAACTTCAACCCCCAACTCTGCATCCCACCAACCCGTAACACACAACCCCTATTTTTCTCTTGTTTCCTGGCCCTAAATTCCTCAGTGCAGCCCTACCAGGTTTTAACAGAGGCCTAAGCTCATAAGGCTGCCTATAAAGACGGTCCCATGGTCGGACTGGAGGCCCCAGCCCGGCTGGCCAGCACTTTATTGGGACTCGGTCACCTTGGGCAGCTATTCACACTGCCAGCTGTAGCTCGCAGCTTGTAAAAAAAGGCCAATCATAAAATGAAAAACAGGGAGGCTCTAAAATTCTAACTTTTACTGCCCCCACCTCCCCCCGCTAGCACCTTCAATGGAAAGCACAGAGGGCTTGCCTTAAACTTAACCTACAATCCCCCTCCTTCTTTGTCTCCCATACACCACCAGCTTGGCCTTCTTTTACAAGAAAGGGGAGATTTCAAAAAGCTGGGGGTTAAAAAAAAAAAAAAAGAAAGACATAAAACAAAGAATTTTATTTTAAAAAGAAAAAACAAATGGCAAGAGGAGCAACGAGGGGGTGGGGTTCAGTTACTAAGGGCAGGTCTTGTTCAAGACCAAGTTGACCATCAGCTCTAGTTGTCTAACAGCTGCTGTGTTAGGTCTAGTACAATCTTATTAATGATCATACCAGCAAGTTTTAGATATTTTTAATTTATTGCCCGGCCGCTGCTAAAACATCTGTTTTTCATATACTTTTTTTTATTTGACTCTTCACAATCCATACAAATTCCTCCTTTAAAAGTATTTCTTTGCTGGAGGCAAATATGTTTTCTATTAGTTTTTAGAGCAATCTCAAAGCCAAATGTGCAAATCAATCTACAACCTGAAGTTTACACCCGTTGAATGTTTCTACAGCAGTTCTCATGTCTCTCTGGCCAGAATATAACAAAGCAGTGGGGTCAGCGAGAGAGCAGAAACCCTCTGAACGTACCATGAACCACTGTTTATGCAATAATAACATCAGCAAATGAGGCTACAGACCAAGCGCTGACAACCCCCTTACAAAAGGACAAACCATATGTGGCGTCAAGTAACGAACATTGACTGACTCTGTCTAAATGGATTTAAAAAAAAAGCCAAAGACAGAGAAAGTCCATCCGGGAGAAAACTCAAGACAGCAGTGATAGAGAAAACAAATCAGGCTCTTTCAACATATTGAGCCTGGTTCCTGCCAGAGAACATGACTCCTGAACCCACCTCCCAGATTGAGCCTCATTCAGCCATCCCCATCCAGATCCCCAGTGTTATTTACCCCAGGGCGCCACGGTGAGAGGGCCCATTCAGGCTACCACTCAGAGCCCCTTTTTCCCCTGTCTCTTCAACTCAGCTCATCGCTGTTTAGAAAACAAAGCCCTGTAAAATGAGAGGCCCTCCTTATCAGCGCTCCAAGGCCTGGGCTACTATTTGCATGACAATCCGTTGGATAAGGCCAGAGTGAGCTGATGATGGACACATGAGATGAGCGGAGTAGGTGGGTGGCTGCTCTTGTTGAGGAGGAGGAGAAGAGGATAAAAAGTAAGAAGACGGGATAGTTTGGTTATCAGTAGCCACTGTTTGCTTCCTGCTAAGTATCAGTTTACGCCCTAATCCCTTGTTGCAGGGCTCTGGACAAGTGGCCCAGCTGCACTGACCAGACCTAATCCTCTGTCTCTCTCGCTCTCTCTCTCATGCATTGCACAAACACACACCTAATGCACACACAACCATCTGCCCCACTAACATTAAATGCTTCAGTCTGAGTGGGATGTGCCGTACATCATTCTCCACAACCTCATTAGATACAAAATATAACTGCATAGGACAGAAATAGTTGCTCAGCTGAAGGTGACTTCAGCTGGGTCAATTGCATGAAATTCTAGGTCAACTTAACCGAGCTGATCAGCATCCCTTTTGGGATCCACTGATAAAATAGAAGAAAACGACATAATAGGAAAAGATAATGATGTTTGAAAACTTTAAACTTTCTGGTAACATCAAAACCACCTGCTGTTCACCCAGTTGGAAAGATGTTTATATATATATATATATATATATATATATATATATATATAATAAAACCATGATTTTGCAGCTCCTGATATATGTTGCAATTTTGCAATTCGCTACTTTTAATTGCGTAGAATTCTTGCAACATTATAAGCATTCTTTCCCAATAGTCCTGCTGATTTTGCCTACATGACTTGTTGTGACATGGCATGTGAGCGAGAATGCAAAAGCTGTTTTGTTTTTTCCTGAGAACAAAAAGTACATGAAGTTTCAAAACGGTATCTGTATGTGTATCTTCTGTGTCTATAGCTAAGTTTTCATCTAAATGGAATGATTTTATCAACCATGTGCTTTCCATTCATGACTATTATGCAATTTTCAAGAGTTAGGTGGTGTAAACTCTCTAGCAGAACTGCAGAAGCAGATGATGCAATGAAATGACGCATTTTAAAATGTACCAGTCAAAACTCAAGTGGAAAAAAAAATTGAGATAAAGAGGCACCGCTGTGAACGACAATGCAGTTCCTGTGTTCCCTTGAAAAGCTATGATGACAATACAGTTTGCATTCAAAACTCATGTGACTTTTTTAACATCATTTGTGTGCTGATCTACTTTTCATTGCACTTGTATGTACCAGTAATCAGCTTCAAAATGTACCCTTAACTTGCAAGGCTCTCAATGACATCAGTATTTTACTTAAAAGTTTAATGTTCATAAAAGGGCCACTGAGATCCAGTATTTTTCTGAAACTGCTCAGAGACATTGGGGCAGGGGGAGGAAGAGGGCACAGTAAGGCTATCTGTGGAAATGAAGAAGGGGCTAGGTTCTGGACAGATATTAGAGGCAGACGGGCACCAGATTGGGAAAGGATGGAGAACAGTCGGCTGTCAGAATCCCTGGCACACTAGGTGGGATCTTTGACGATGCCCTTGGCCCACCACAATAAAGCAGAGGCGACAGCACCGCAGGAAACTAACGGAAAGGTTTCCAGGAAGAATTTGGCTTTATGAAAGAGGAAAAGAAAGTACCACACCCTTGTCAGAGGTGCCAGCGCATTTCACTTCAACTCTGTTTCTCTGCCCACAGCTTCCTGTCATCGTTCAGATTCTTCTGCTACAAGGCCCCACACGGCATGCTTGTTTCCTTCCTCTTTTCAGTACCAGTCTTTCCGGAGGATCTCCGTCACAGCTTTTGTAGCCACTTCTCTTCATCCCTCTCTACTAAACCTTCATCAGTGTGCTCTTTCAAGCTTTCAAGTAGGAGGTGTACAAAGTCTCTACTGTGAGTTACACAAGTACCCAGAATGGTTACCAGCCTACAACTTAGAAATAATTAAAATGAAAATGAGGAGAGCTAGATAGATGGAAGATTTGACAAGTTACCTTGAGCAAGAAGCAACACCTCTGTCAAAAAGCCCATTAGGTGGGTTTTTAAAACAAGATTGCACAATTGGGCCAAGCATGTTCTTTGATACAAAGTATATGAAAACAAGGCTAAGTAGAAAGTTTGAAAAGTGATGCCAAGCCAAGTTAAACAAACAATAGACTACACACACTTCTCCAGAAATTTACACCTTTATGCCATAAGCATAGGAAGGCCGTGTAGCACGGAAACAGATGTGGACACAGGTGAATTTTCATGTTGCATACACATGAAAAACGGTTTGGTATTTGCTAATAGCAGCTGGGGACGCTAATTACAAAATTCTGGAGTTCTGAAGAATGACACATTGTGACATGGCACACAAGATCCTGCCAACATACATAGTTCTGCACAAAAAAAGGTATATAAGCAGAGCAGCAAAGGCAGCAGGTGGGCTAAGCAAGTACCCTCAAGGTACATTTAAAAAAGTGGAATTACTCCTGCAGTCTGGTAGTGCTCTCAAAACACCCTTTCTTCTTTACAGCACCTCATAAAGGGCTTTTTGATATTTTCTTCTTGATGGAGTCGGCCAAGCCAACATTTGGCGGCCTGCGCCCCCCACCACCCCGCTTCCCTTCCTGCACCACACAACCATGTCAATTCAAGAAACACAAGTTGGCTTCAAACAGGCAAATGTCCCCATCCCCAATGAACCCGGTGAAAAAAAAAAAGTTTCCTTCGAACGTCCTTGTCCAA